GTGACTAATGCCCTCCGGGCTGGTGCAAGGGGGAGCACACAGGCCTAAGTGCAGTATTCCCTCAGGGAGCTCCCAGTCCCAGTCGAGATGTGACAAAGTGTAATTTCCAGAATAGGATTTATAATTATATTCCAAAACTCAATAGTCTGGCCGAACCAAGAGAAGGGGGTGCGCATGCAGGCGTGTGGCCCCCGGGAGGCGGTCAGAGGCATCTGTGAGTAGAGGAAGGTTAGCGGCCACCACAGGCAGGCCTGGTGGGGCTCAGGGGAGCGGGTCCCGAGCGGGTGGAGGCAGCGGGCAGAGTGGGGCTATGAGCCATAGCTCTGGGCTGGGCAGGGGCAGGGGCAAGGACCGGCGGGAGTGGGCTTGCTCTTCAGCAACCGATGAAGACCCCACACGTCGCCAGGCGCTTGGGTGCTGCCTGTAGGTCATGGGAAGCCCTAGAAAGCTGCAGGGAGAAGGAAGGAGTGTGTTAGCACAGCCCAGTTGGGGCTGGCATGTGGGCAGGGCTGCCACGGAGGCGGGCAGCTCAGTGAGGAGGCTGGATTTAACTGGAAGGCGAGAATCTAGTTATATTCCGCCCCCCAGTGTGGTATGAAAATTAAAGTGAAGAGAAAGGGCAAGTAAGAGAATTTTGTACTTCCAAATTAGTGTATATTGTGTCTATATCCTGGCAGAAAAAGAAGAAATGCCATCTTAAAAGACTTGGAAAAGGGCCCTCACATGACCAGGTTGGCAGCCTGATCTCAGACGGTCAGCCTTCCAATCTGTGAGAAAGAAGTTTCTGTTGTTTAGTTTAGAAAAAATCATTGAGTAAAGGAAGGTATCACTTCATAGAAATGAATGAAACAACATAGCTTTAAACAATTTTAATGATGAAAAGGAGAGTGCGGTCAGCCTGCTGGGGTTGTCATCTCCTTCAGCCCCGGACAACACACCTCCCGAGGGGCGAGCTGCTCAGGCTCCCCCAGGGTAGGGAGATGCTGCCCCGGTCCCGAGGCCAGGCCCTCTTTGAAATTTCCTGGACTGGATGGATTGCTGGGTAGATTAGAACTCGGACATTGACCGCCTGATGTGATTTTACCTCTGTAAGCAATCGTCTGGTTTAAAGAGGCCTTCGATTCTCTAGAAGCCCACAGTGTCTGGGTGCGGGATGTGCACTGGTGCCCCTCGCTCATTCCGCGCCCAGGAGGCTCACGGGGAGCTCTGGAGGCACCCAGGGGACGTTGGGCTCAGGTCTCTTTGCACCAACAGTTCATTCTTCCAAACAGCACTTACTGCCTGAGGCTGCTGTTATCTTTTTTTTTTTTAAAAAACCTATCCCTCCTTTTTTTCTTCTTCTTAGGATGCTTTCATTGGGTTTGGAGGAAATGTGATCAGGCAACAAGTAAAGGACAACGCAAAATGGTACATCACTGATTTTGTAGAGCTTTTGGGAGAACTGGAAGAATAACCAATTTTTACAGACTTCACCACTTCAGATTAATTTTTAAAAGTTATACAGTTTGATACTGTTTGTTTACAATTGCCTATTACAACTTAGTGCATAAATTTGGTACTGATTATCTGCACTTCCAAATAAGCTACAAGTTAGGGCTTTTAGAAAGTTGCTTTTTTATAAAAGCTATAGTTCCAGTATTATTGTGACCATCAATTACCTGAAGAGTTTTATAATCTGAATTTTTTATGTATTTTCCTACCTTTATTTTATTTGAAGCTTTTTAAAGGTGGAGAGTCAATTAAACACCTTCCCTGTTGAAAATATGGATTAAGCAGTGAATTATTAGAAAATTAATATTAAGTGAATATATTAGTTTTCCCTTTGGTATATAAATAAAAGTTTATCCATGTATCAGAATGAATTTGTGGCATTTTTATTTCTGCCTGTCATGTATTTCTATAGCCAATATTTCAAGTACTTTAAGTGTTTGAGTAGAAACAACCTCAAGACAGGCAAGGAACCAAGGAAGGAAATGGAGATGCCTCTGAGCACAGGGCAGAGTGCTTGTCACATGTCCCCACCACTCGGCCCCTACCCACCCCTGTGCTGAGTGAAGCTCTGGGCCAGAAGGATGGAAGCACTTTTATTACCTCTTGAAATTTGTCATATAGGGAATGGTTACAAAGGCTTTAAAAAAAAATAACAATGGATGCTGGGCTGGCGTGGCTCAGTGGTTGAGCATCGACCTATGAACCAGGAGGTCTTGGTTTGATTCCTGGTCAGGGCACATGCCTGGGTTTTGGGCCCGATCCCCAGTAGGGGGCGCGCAGGAGGCAGCCGATCGATGTTTCTTATCATTGATGTTTCTCTCTCTCTCTCCCTCTCCCTTCCTCTCTCTGAAATCAATAAAAACATATTTAAAAAAATAATGGAGTCTTAAAAGTTTCAGTCCTAAAATGGACATTTGATAATCACATCAAGTAAAAGAACTAAAAACAAGTTTTACCCATCCCAAATGAAGGTCAGCACTTCCCCTAAATGAATTAAGAAGTAACTCCTAAGAGCACATATGAACTGCTTCTTTCTTACGGATGACTTGGAAGGACCTGGAAGCCAGGTTTATGTTTATTCTGGGCAGTGCCAAGAAAGGGAAACTGCAGAACATGGCTTCAAAGTGTGAGAACTATACGCCCTCCCTGGTGGGAAAATCAGGGAGGGTAAAGACACAGGTTGAGCCCCAGCTGGTTTGCTCTGTGGTTAGAGCATCGGCCTGCGGACTGAAGGACCCCAGGTTCGAGTCCATCCAAAGGCACGTACCTCTGTTGCAGGCTCAGTCCCCGGCTCCTGTCGGGATGTGTTCAGAGGCAACAAATCGATGTGTCTCTCTCACATGGATGCTTCTCTCTCCCTTCTACTCTCTGAAAAGCAATGGAAAAAATATCCTTGAGTAAGGATTTTAAATAAATGAATAAGTACACAGGTTTAAGAGGAGGTATGCCGTGGGTACTGTTGGATAATTAAGTAGAAAAGGCTAGAAGGGTTTAATATTGGAAATCATTTGAAAAATTTACAATTTAACGAAATAATCAAATTTGGCAAAGTAATCAAGTAATTATTTAGCCAAATAACCAAATCAGACCGATCAGATTTCCTTCAACATCAGAATTTCTATGGGAGAGGCATGAGATAAGTTTGGCAACATTTAAATGAGATCCCCAACAAGGAGGCGGTTGTTCCCTGGTTGTGAAAGCTCCCTGGCAGCTCTCCTAGGAGCTGTTTTGCGGCATTTGTGCTTTAGGCAGTGCTGTGCTCTGGGCAGGACCAGGCAGGCCAGGCCCGGGAAGGGCGCTACAAGCCGCCCCGGCCTTGGCCGCCACCCCGTGTTCGCGGGCTGGAGCAAGCCTTCGCTCGGTAGGCGGGGGCCCGAGAAGCCGTTGGCCCGCCCGAGCGTGCCATCCACAGGGCAGTGGCCCGAACTGAAGGTGCACATTGAATTTGGCTCCGAGGAGTCTGATCTGCTGAGAAATCGTGATACTCACGTAAAACCTTTTATGCCAACGACACAACCCCTCCTCTGGCCCACAGGCTCCCCAGCGCTCAGCAAGCGGCACAAAAGCTGCTCTCACAATTCCTTCTTTGTTGTGTCGGAGGGGTGTTTGCAACGAAGCAACTGCGCTCACGTCTTTCCTGCTTTTCTGACTCATGGGGAACAGCCACAGAATGGCTCTCCCAGGAGTAATATGTGTGGTTCCATTAGGATGGGACTCAGAAAGGGCGGCAGTGTTACGCGGTTTCCTATCCTTGTGACAGTCTTTCCTGCCGATGATCAACACTCCTTATATAATCAAAAAACGGTAAGAGTGGGAGTTATAAAGAATTTAAATTTGTCATGGTATGAAGTTGAAACAAGTCCCTCAAAACTTTTATATGCATAAAAAAACAAGGCAACCCTGTGGCCTTCATCCCCTCACCCCACCCCATCTCCTCAGGTTTGCTGCTATTCTCCCTCTTCTACTTGGAAACAGGTGTTTCTCCATGACGCCCAGGGAGGCCCACCGGGCTGCCACTCCCAAGGGCAGGGGGCAGGATGCTGGACCTGGGGCAGGGCTGTGGCCAGGGATTCAGGGGGTCGGCCTTGGTAAGTGATGGCTCACGCATGATGGCTTTTGCCTCCGTGACCCTCAGGATCTTTATGATCAGGTTCAGGAAACTTGGGGAGTGAACTGACCACAAGTCGCACTACTTATTTTCATGTTTTCCAAGGTGTGTTTATGTTTCCTCATGATCCTCACAACCCCGAGGTCAGCAGTATAGAAATCACTGTCCTCTTTTTAACAGATGGGAGATAACAGTTCATGACTGCTACAGGGTCACATTCAGAGCTGGAACCCAGGCCACGATTCCACAGCCTTCATCTGCGTTACTAGAGCCAACCACTGACTGGAGCCAGGAGATTCCACCCTAAGCTGATACTTAACATTGTGATCACAAGTGTTAATGTATATGAATACAGTAGATGAAATTTTCTTTCCTAGGATGGAAGGCCAGTTTTGCAAAAAATTAAAGTTTCTTCTTTTTTGTTAATCTTCACCTGAGGATATTTTTTCTATTGATTTTTAGAGTAGGAGGGAGGGAGGGAGGGAGAGAGAGAGAGATATCGATGTCATTCATTGATCAGTTGCCTCCTGCAGCCAGAGATCGAACCTGCAACCCAGGTATATGTCCTTGACAGGGAATCGAACCCGCTACTCTTTGGTGCATGGGCAGACATTCTAACCATGGAGCCACACTGCCAGGGCTCAAGTTTCACTTTTATGGTCGCTGAACTCTAGAAAAAGTTTTAATACTAGTTAGAGAATTGTTCAGTACTTTGCTGATCACAGTTTCCAATTCTGAACATATTTCTATATATGTTTATTATCTTCCTTTTGAATTTTTACTGAGCTTATCTAGGCATATCATTAAGTTCTAAGGATTTCTAAAGCTTGCATCAAAAATAGTATGAAGAGCCCGGCCGGCGTGGCTCAGTGGTTGAGCATCGACCTAGGATCCAGGCGATCGGGGTTCGATTCCCGGTCAGGGCACATGCCTGGGCTGCGGGCTCGATCCCCAGTCGGGGGCATGCAGGAGGCGGCCGATCAACGACTCTCTTATCATTGATGTTTCTCTCTCTCTTTCCCTCTCCCTTCCTCTCTCTGAAATCATTAAAGATATATTTAAAAAATAGTATGAATAAAGACACTGCCCTGCTTCCTGACAGTCCCAGGTATTTTCTAATTAGAACTGTACCTTCTACGTCTTCCTTCCCTTTCTCCCTCTCTTCTTTTACTTCCTCCCTCATTCCTTCCATGGACTCATCAAACATACCACTGCCCATCTATGCCCCAGCCAGAAACTGAAAGTATAAATTTAAGGAAAAAGTATGACATAGAAATGAAAAGGGATCTTTCCCGGGCAGTCGTGAGAATAAGAGAAAAGCAGCAGGTCCTGTCAGGTGCTAGTCTGGAGCAGAGCGAAGGGTGGGTCTGCGGGAGCTTTCAGGCAGCGAGGTGGCAGCACATGAATGACCGTTAAGAACGAGCTGGCTTACACACGTAAGGGTCCCAGACTTACATCCAACGGATGGAGAATGAGACTGGAAATTCTGAGTATTGCCAGTGAAAACTAATAGTGGGAAGAAAGAATACAATTTATTCTACTACGTGGGTTTAATAAAGGGATTCCACAAAGTGGGCAGGAAATGCTAAAATAAAGTGATAATTTGATCAATCAGCTTCACAGAATGTTTCTGTCAAAAGCCAGCAAGCTGCTGAGTTAACGATCAGGTTCCAGGCTCCATCCACCCAGCCTCGCAGCAGCACCGGACACGGGATCTCATGCTCGGTGGCCGTCCTAGCCGCGGCTCTCACGACATCCCGCTCCTCGTCTCTCCCTTTCCTGAGTCCCCACTCTCCCCGCTTCCCTCGGCACCAAGGGCCAGGCACAGAAACTCCGAGCCGAGCCGGAGGAATCTTCAGTGTCCTGGTGCTCAACCTCCCACTTCGTAGACTAAGGACCTCAGCACCCCGGAGGGCAGGGACTTCCTCAGGGAGCGGAGCCTGCACCTGGGTCTGTTCTGCTGCAGCCCCGTCCTCCAAACACCGAGGCGCTGGCGCCGGTCCCCAAAGGCCGTTCCCGGAACACCCCACCCCATGGCCGCAGGGAGACGCTGACGAGCTCATTTAGTATTTTACTCTACAGGCTCTCATGTGCCCACTGAACCGGGACAAGCTGTTTTTCTAGAGCCACAGGGTCACTCTTAGAGCAAGTTCAGAAAAAGGATGGCAAACATGTAGTATGTGGAAAGTCAGAGAATTTTATTGACTTTTATATGTTCTTGGAGAAAACCATTCACATGTAAAAGTTTGAAATTTGATGAGATTTATTCACACTTTTTTACACAGAAGTTATTTAATTTGGAGGTCAGACATGATTTCTCTTTTCAAGAGGCCTTTCACATGATGACATTCACAAAACTGGCACATTGTATTAAAAAAGGAAATCAAACAGCTAGACAAGTACACAGCGCTATGCCAACTTAAACCAGCCCGCGCCACCCCTCATGCAGGACGGTGGAGGGGCTGCTGTGAGCTCACGACAATATTTATGGTGTCGGGGGCCATGAATGATTGTTTACAAAATAAAACCTCTTTTTCTAGAGCTTCTCGTTTTGTTATAGAAAAATATTACAAATAAAAATTAGTGCTATTCAAGGTGTTCATTTCAAAATCACATATGATACACAGGTTCAAGCCATCTCCCCTCACACAGAGACACCACAACACTGCGTGGGGACCGGATTAGGTTCAATGCGCCTCGGCAGCCACTGCCAGCTTAGTGACGACTCATTTACTATGCGAACTGATTGAAAATGAGAGCGAATTAAAATATATTCAGGTATCGGGTTTATTCATAATTTGTTCCTAGTTTGAGACTCAGAAAAAACCTGCCAGAGAAACATGACAAAATTTGTATTTCTTCCTGATACAAGAAATTTGTCTAAAAATCTGTAATTGTAAGACAGATTTGCTTTTTTTTAAAGAAATGACTAACTTTTTTTTCATGGCTAGATTCTTATTTAGAGATGATTCAAATTTTAATTTGGGCCCTCTTTCCCCGGAGGGTGAGAGGGGTGGTCAGTATTACAAGGTATATTCGACAAACACAGGGATGTTTCAGAGGACTACAGAGTGCTGTTACAATCAAACTGTAATCGTTTCCTTTCTTAGAGTTATGTAAATTTTAAAGAAAAAGGGTTTCTCATAAGCTATATACAGCAGTTTACATTTCAGTGTTTTTCACTTGATATACAATTAAAATTAATTTATGACAAATACTTGTCACATAAATTTATGTAGGCACATCTAAATTCTGCAGCTTTACTGGAGGGGTGAGGTCTTCTGTGGGATCATGATTCTGGATTCCATTTCCTGAATAAGTGGGACTGAAAACATGGTCAAGATTACTGTGCTTGTTCTTTTCTGAACAGGTAACGGCAAACACATCCACAAACAGGTTGCTGAGACTGATCACAGTTGTGCTACTTGAAATCACAGAACAGAATACTGGAAAATACGGGACTGACCGAGGGTCAGAAATACACAAGATCATGACAGATCAGCTAGCATCCTATAAGATGTTATTAAAATTACAACAGATTCTGTCTGGAGGAAGTTAGGAGACGTGTTTGTGGGAAGTTAGAAAAATCCATATTATGAGAAAAATAGTGCTTTCTCAAAAAGTTCTCTGAACTAAAATAGATTTATATAAAATCAAGTAATGTTGTATTTGACTGTATTCCTACACTATATGTGACACTCACTGCAGAGTAAAACACGCCTCTGAAAACTGATGAGGGTGTAAGAATAAGAGGCACATATAATTACAGGACTTTTTGGAACTAAGATGCTTATTTTCTAGAACAATTTACTCTTCGATTTTCTTGGTAGTACATGGGCTTAAATGTACTTGACATGCAACATGGCTGGTACTTATTACCTGCATTGGTATCGCTGGGCTGAATTCAGCCCTATTGCATTTCTTATAAAAATTGAGCAGCCACGATTTCTTAGTATACATGTATGTGGGTATACATGCATGTATAGGTATACATGTACATACAAACACACACACGTATGGAAAGTCTAAATATCAAATTAACTTTCAAAATTACTTTTAATTGCTGTATTACATTGTAATGTTTTTGTGAATGAACAATTTTGGTTAAGAAAAACTCTGTTGTAAATTTTCAGAGAACATAGAAATGTGCAAAAAAAAGTAATGATGTAAAATTTACAACATACAAGGGTCTGAAAACTGTACCAGACAACTACATACGTGAAAGAATGAATATTCTTCATTACTGAATGAAAGTCATGTAACTATTAAAGAAAAAAATGACTCTCTTCCTTCCGAGCTTATAATTCACCACCTAGAGCAACATACTACTTTTTAAAAATACTTATTGCCCAGCCAGCCGTGGCTCAGCGGTTGAGCGTCGACCTAGGATCCAGGCGATCGGGGTTCGATTCCCGGTCAGGGCACGTGCCCAGGTGGCAGGCTCAGTCCCCAGTCAGGGGCGTGCAGGAGGCAGCCGATCAATGACTCTCTCATCATTGATGTTTCTATCTCTCTCTCTCTCTCTCCTTTCCTCTCTGAAATCAATAAAAATATATTTAAAAAATAAAATAAAATAAAAATACTTATTAGCTACAAGGTGTAAGGTCACAAAACAGTAAGATGAGAAGAAAAGATTACCTGTATAATACACCAGTTCTTCCCAGCCATGTTTATGCCAGGCTGCGTTCCGTATGTCTTCCCTCGTCTGCAGATCCTTGTAAGCTGAAGACAACCACGCAGAAGAGACAAGACGTAAGCCGAACAGAACGCCTACACCCCACTGGGGCCCCGGGGAGCACCGACCCAGCTGCTCATCACGTTTTCTCAGAGATTACTTTGGGAATTTAGTACAAACTTTGGGGAAAGTGAGGGTAAGTTTGAAAGGCAGGAAGCGAGAATTCATCTGTGTATCTCAATACCTTTTGTGTAAAGCAGGAAGTGGGAAGTGAATACTTGGGACACTGACTAGGGACAAAGGAGGGTGGGGAAGGGCTCAGACTAAGGAGACAGGTGCCGCACTTTGGCCACGCTCGGATGCCAACAGCACGCTGTTCCTGGCTTCCGCATCGCTGAGTGCGGAGGATCCTGGTGGGCCTTCTCACCTTGCTGTTGCTCCGTGAGCCTCGAGTCTTCCCCACAGGGCAGAGTTAAGGGCCCTGCCCTTTGTTGGCCACAGCCTGTCAGAGCTTTGTCACTCACACCCTAGTGCCTGCCTGTGTAATCCCAGACTCCTTCACCTGGAAGTCCCCATCCAGACAGGCTGTAGGCGCTGATGTGAACGGAGTGTGAGCATGGCTTGACCTCCGCTCAGGAGCCAAAGCACATGATGATCCTGACCCATCAATCGAGTCCCTGTGCCCGCTCATGTATGGACTATGTCCAGGAGGGTGTGCAGGAGCCACCCTCTGAGGCCCCTCCAGGCTCAGAGGACAGGAGGGAGGGGAAGAGGCCTGGCTTCAGTTTATATCCTCTGGACAGACCATATACTATTTAAAAAATAAAACTACTTCACCCCTGCCTCAAATCCATAAAAGTTAAATCAGATTTAGTATAATCTTAAAAGGCAGGAACACAGAACACATTTCTTAAAGATTTGTTTCCGAACCTACTACATTTGAAAACTGATACTTATGAGCTCAAATGGCAGCTAGTGGAAACCCCTAGCACAACGCTGCCCTGACGTTTTGTGGAGCCGACAGTTATCTGTGGCATCTATCATTGGTACAGGGGATTCAATCTCTTAAATGCCACGGAAGCCCTGCGCATGCAGCTGAGATGAGCACCTGGTCGAAGCCGTGATTGGTGGGGTGAGGGCGGGGGCCTCCTCCCCAGACCTTGAAGGTTTGCAGGGCTGGGGTGGGGATGTGTGTTCCAGAAACACTGTGAAAACTACTCGGCAAAGGGCCCTCAGTAGCTTTACCATCTTGCCTCTGCCACGGTTGCTGATTTCACCACTGTGCCCTCCTGGATAATCAGTTTACCAAAAGTCTATGGACACCTCTGCTGCTGGCCTCTCGTTCTTGACAGCCCAGAACTTACCTTCCATCTGTGACGTTTGAATTTGCTAGTGTTTCAAATCACTGACTTGAGATATGCTTTACTGCCTAGTACAATTTACTTAGCAATAAACTGTGAAATCCCAGTAATACAAAAACAAGGGAAAAACAATAAATACCCCAAAGATGATGCACCATGTATAACTGCCCAATTTGAGAGAAGAATCCTCCAACAGCTTCATCTCCGTCCTGTCTGAAGCGTATTGCACGAGCCCTGCAAGAAAAAAAAAATGTTCAAAAACTGAATTAGAGAAATGTTCAAAAGAATCAGCAAATTTTCTCCATACTCTGAGCAAGTTTTTCAGAATAAGACGAATTGTTTTAAAATTATCAGATTTAAAATCAAGTTATTTTAATGTCTGCAAAATGTAAATGTACCCTTCAGTAGCTATACCAGTCAAATTTTAAAAAAATACATCTTTATTGACTTCAGAGAGAGAGGAAGGGAGAGGGAGACAGAAACATCAGTGATGAGTCGTCATTGATCGGCTGCCTCCTGCACGCCCCCTACCAGGGATCGAACCCCCAACCCAGGCATGTGCCCTGACAGGGAATCAAACCTCAGTCTCCTGGATTCTAGGTTGATGCTCAATGGCTAAGCCATGCCTGGCTGGGCTATACTAGTCATTTTTGAGAGTAGAAAATAATTAATGACTATTAAAATAAAAACGTGAGAATATGTAGTTGCACTGATTCATCACATAAAGTCAAGAAAGCTGGCAGAGGACAGGACCGGTGACCTTAAGAACTGTTTTTCCAAGAACTCGCTGAAAGAGGGAAAGCTGGATAAGAAAACGCCAGAGATGTCACAAGGAGGCAGGGGCCACTTCTCAAGAATGGGGTTTAAGAGACGAGGGAAGCACACCTTTAAAGCAGCTGGGGACAGTGACCTCTGAGAAACACGTGAGCTCTCTGCACTAAAGGCAACTTGCAACCCCTTGGGAAGCAGACAGACCGTGAGTGGAGCTTCTTGGCAGCAGAGCATCCCGATCAAAACTGAAGATTCCTCTTAGTTTCTCTTCTTACCAGAGCAAACCATTAGGAAAATGAGTGCCAGACGGCACTCACTGTGTGCTGTGCCGAGGGAAGTGTGCACATGTTGTGTCTATGGGTATAACACGAAACTGTGATTAAATTGCTTAAAAGTTGGCATGTGTCTTATTTTCTTAGGATTTCCTGTTGCAAAGGTATCAGCTCTTCGAACACCTTCTTTCATATTTGTTCCAGGTACTGTATTTTTATATTTAGTGAGGCATTTGAAATCCTAAATGTTTTTAAAATGTATATATTTTTCCAAAAGCAATTTTCTAGAATCAGAGTTGAAAATTTTTTATCAACACTGCCCAGGTTTTGGCCTGAAGTCTGTCACATCATGGTCCCAGAGCTGGCAGGACTTGGAAAGATGGATCCATTCTCTTTCATCGTGAAGAGCTGGAGGCATATGGACAAGCATCGAATCTCCTAATAAGTACAGTGAGAGACATAACTCCCTAGCGACAGGTTCTGAATTGGCTTGATCAGTGCATTCCCTTCCTGGAGGCGACCTTCACAGCAACTGAATTAGAGCAAGGGCGGCCGGTGGTGGGAGGGGTGCAGCCAGTCTCCTTAAGAGCCCTTCGTAATCCTCGGCTCTCACTCACCACGTGCTGGACACAAAAGGGTGACCCAAGCTTTCAGGTTCTTCTGGTGAAGGAGAGATCTCTTGTTATTGCCCCCATGGATTACCCCCAAATGATATTAAATTCTTTAACTTTTGCATTTGGAATTGATTGATACCTTCACAAAAATTACAAATCTGATTGGTAAATTATTGAGATCAAACAAATCACATTAACGTGCATTCTAACTCAGAAGGGAAAAATACTCTTTCATTGATAGTGATATTCAGGATTATTCAATTCATTCTGAATTTTTCAATTCAGTTACAGTGGGCAAAGAAGACATACTTGCCTCAGCCTGGTAAAAATCAGAAGCATGTACTGAAGAGGAGATCACCATCTTACCATAGTCACCTAAGTGTCAAAATATAAACTGAACACTGAACTGGCTTCACAAGTAATTTTTAAAATAACTGAAGAACAGCCTCAGTACTTCCTTGTGGATTCCATGGTGGGCAAGTTTTAATTAGTAACATACAAAAAATAGAACAATCCTACTCTATGGACAACTAAATTATTACATATACAAGCCCCCCTCTCCCCTTAAAAGCCCCCATAATAAAATGGTGCCTATAATAGCAGGATATGAGGAAAAGCGGAGTTTGCCACCCCAAAATATGCCTTTTGGGACATTATTTTAAGCTGATTATTTTTTAAGACATGAAACTCTGGAAAAACCTTTGACCTTCCCCCTAACTGCCTAAAATAATTTTAGAGGACCTGCTCCAAAAAGCAAGGTATTTTCATGGATAACGGCAGTGTAATATGAACCAAGTGCAACAGACAGGGAGGGACCTAGCAAGGCCTGTGTGATCCAAGTCCTCTCTGTGTCCCACGGAATCGATGGCCCAGCAAACTTTTTACCAACCGTTTGCTTTTTCATCTCCATGTGAATTGCCTTCCTGCCCTCTGAAGTCCCAAACCACAACGCCCCCCTTCTCCCTGGCTCAGCAGCACAGAAGCCTTAACTGCTAGATCTGTCCTTGGGTCTCATATTCTATGGAACCCCCCCATGTACATACATAATAAATTTCATTGTTTTCTCCTGTTAATCTCTCTTATGCAAATCTGATTATTGGTCCAGCCAGAACTTAAAAGGGAAGGAGGAAAAATTTTTTTCCTCTCCCCCATATATACAATCAAATATCTATTTCTTAGTTTTCAAATGAAAAGAAATTCCAACTTGTATTCTTTAACCTTTGATGGCCTAAGAAGAAATGATTCATTAGAAATAAAGATCACAGAACCATTCTTGGGAGCTACAAGAGATCTTAAAAATTATCTAGTCTAATGCAAGAGATTTCGTAACAGAAGAAGAGCATATATAAGTTGAAAGTAAGTAAAAGTCACAGGTTCTCCTTTAAAGATAAATATTAACCAAGGTCAATAGCTGGCCAATGGCCAATAATCTATTCTTGTATCCCTCATAATTATTGAGATTTTATAGTATTATATCTTTGCCTTATCTTTTCTCTTATTACAATAGTCAGGATTTTAAAAAACATAAAATTATAATGGTGAAAGTGGTAATATTTTGTTTTAATGGTAATGAGCATGCTTCTCTTGTTTCACCATCAAGTTTAATGTTGCTGTTAAAATGGAGAGATGGGGAGTTTTATCATTTAAATCAGGGCCAGTACTAGAGATCTTGGGCTAACTCCCACCCTCTGCAGCTTGTTTTTATGGCTCAGGGGCTAGGAACGGTTTTTACGTTTTCAAGAGCTTGAAAAAAAATTTTTAAAAAAGAATTATTTCCAGTTCCATCCATGCTGCTTACTCCTTCCAATGCATTCTTTATTTCTGCTGTGTCCATTCTTAATTTCCCTCACAGGCTGCCTACCTTTCCCATCAGCCTTACAATCAGCATTCTGAACTCTACATCTGATAGACTGCTTATCTCCATCCCACTCAGCTCTTCTTCTGGAGAAGTCTCTTGTTCTTTCACTTGGGGCTTGAAATAAGCCAGTCAGAGAAAGACAAGTACCACACGATCTTACTCATATGTGGAATATAACGAACTAAATAAACCGATGAACAAAACAGATTCAGTGACAGAGAAGCATGGGGCAGACTGAGGGATCTCGGAGGGAAGGCGGGGGTGGGTGGGGAGAGATTAACCATAGAATTTACACGCATATGTGCAGAACCCATGGACACAGACAATAGTGTGGGGAAGGCCTGGGACAGGGAATTGGTGTGAGGTAGAAGGGGTCAGTGGGGGAAAAAGGGGACATCTGTAATATTTTCAACAATAAAAATAAATTTAAAAAGTAATAAAAATCCTCTCCTAAGAAAATTGAGAATTATTTAGTAGATCAAACAAGTTATATGGGTATTTTTATATCTATGTTTCTATCTGTCATCTCTCTATCTCTCTATCATCTATCTATCTATCTATCTATCTATCTATCTATCTATCTATCTATCTACCTATCTATCATCTATCTATCTATCATCTATCTATCATCTATCATCTATCTATC